AACAATTTTTATCTGGCCTTATCTTTCTCTTATGGCGATGCAAATGATCCTTAAGAGAAAGAATTGCAAATCAAAAATATCTTCTCCTAGCAGAATCAAATTTTTCGACATCGATAATTATAAATATCGAATATATTTCAGAATATATCGATAATTTCATGTATAAATGACCACAACCGATGCATTGAAATTAATCACATTGAATAAAAATAACATTGTCGCATAGTCTGAAATTTCAATATCTTGATTTTACGACAATCCCGTTAGCCTTGGTGTAGGCTAGCACACCAGGCCTCGTATTCCTGTTCTTCAGGTGTCTCCCGAATACAAATAATTCCCATGGATTTGAATTCAATTCAATCTTCCTATATACTCTTCATCAATTCATTTAGAAATTGATACCGCATAGACATCCATGCCGACAGCATTCAAGCCCTCTCGACCAATTGTTTGGCAACTAAGATGACCAATATCGTCTGTCTCTGAAATATTAGGCGATTTGTCTTCTGCAGGAGGTCGACCAGAGCCTTCATATCAATTGTCATCATTCCTATAATTGTCAAATTCTTCTTCCAAGAATCCATGATTTCCGATGGGGAAAATCAAAGTAATTCAAGAAGCAAACGAAGATACAGTTGTTCATCCATTGTAATATTAAGTGAATTGTCCACTGTTGTAAGATTGATTTGATAATATAGATAATCTTGTTGTACCGAAATTCATTTTATTGATAATGAATGGATAGAATTTGCAAAATCTATAAAGCGGAAATGAATAAAGATTGCTCTTTTGGTGCACAAAACGAATCGTTCTTGCCCAGATAATCATTTAATCAAAATGCAAAAGGGCTCACCCTATATATTGAATGATAAAGAAATTGCATATATCCTTCTTATACAAAATGTTTGAATTCCATCAACAGACGAATCATATTTCTCGTATATATCATAATTATCCCTGATACCTATTGCACAAATTCAATCGTAAGAAATAATTTATCATCGATTTTTTTAATATAATATTGAAGAAATTATATGTTTTATCAAAACCATTGATTCCATTTTCAATATTGAATTTCATGCAATCTTTGAAGATTCCTCCATCATATAAAGAAATTTTGCAACCAAGGAAATCAATTAATTCTTCTCCAAGAAATATCCAGTCCTTCATGGAAAAATTCTGAAATTTTTCATCAATGCAAGTATCCAATTATTGAAATTCTCAATATTTGGGATGTCCAGCCAACAAACCGTGGTCCACATGAAATATAGATATTGAGATCGCGGTAGCGTGGTACCATTGATGACCTTGACGAAGGTAGCCCCGACATAAGAAATATTCCCATATCAATCAATTGATGAACGGCCTTGAGATCCCATATTCGTGGTGCCTCTACTAGGCCATATGCCAATTTCAAGATTTTAAACAAAATGAATATGCAATTAATGATGATTATTCTTCATTAATCAAATCTTCATAAGAGATCCGAATATAGAATTCTCAACCTATAGGATATCCAGACAAAGAATTGATTATCGTATCAAATTTATATATAGATATTATCTTCGATTCATGGCCAAGGTCTTTATTATCTGCACGGAATATGGTTTTGTAATTGGGGCATGATTTGGCTAGGATCTAAGACGAAATATTGAATTGAAAATCTTGCTTCATGGAATATGCGCCTTTCTCTTAGGCGGTGCTACATCTACGGTTCGGTTACGAATCCATGAAAATTATTCTGATTGATCTGTGTTATTAAATTTGTCCTTCCCTGAGAAACAATATAATATGGATCTAATATAGATCTCATAAGCCCATCATATCTTATCAGATAGGTAAATAGTTTGATGACCAAGAAATCTTGCGCCGTATCAGGATTTCATCCATCTTCTCCTCCAAAAGTATGTTTTGATTTGATTATGGATCCAAAAGAATATTGATGCGATTACGAAGGAATTGATTTAGAAGATTTTGGAAATATTTGGATATTGAGAGATATATTATGCCATCTAATTGTAATATATCATCTAATTGATGAATTGATATAATATGCCTTCAAATCTTCAAATGGATCAAACCATGCATTTATTCTCTTTGTACGGATCTCCTCCTGGGAAAGGAATCAAAAAAATATTGGAGAAAAATATATCCCTCTTCATCTTTTTGGCGACATCGATATGGTTCAAAAATGTGGTTTTGATCGTCATGGATATATTCATATTTTTCTATTCCTATAGTCTTCTAGAAAATATTTTCCGTAATCTTCCAGAAGATATTCAAAGATAAATAATATCAAATTGCTAGAGATCGCAACAAATTAAAAGTTTCCATATATATAATATTAGATATATAGATATCTTTTTAAATTATATATATTGCAAAAATATATCAAATATTATCAATAATCGAATCCAATTCCATTAGATTCTCCAAAATCAACATATCATTCAATATTATACTAAAATACATTGTCTTTAAAAATACAAAAATATTATAGATAAATCTTTTTCATAAAAATCAAAACAATCGAAATTAAATATTCATCTAAAATAGAATCGAATCATCCATCCATATATAATTTCCTTTATAATTCCTAATCAATATTGTTTAATTTTATGTCCTTTATTATCCGATTAATATATATATATGTATATTTAAATATATTATTAATTCATTTAAAAATATGATTAATTCCTATATATATATTTTTCAATTCATTCTAAAAATGATCTTTATTAATTTCTTTTCATTCCTTATATATTGCATTTATCCTATTTAATTGCGTTCTATTTATATTTTGTCCATTTATTTCCTTATGATATTTCATTCAATTATTTTGATAGTAGTTTAATGTTCTATTTAATTCCTATTTATTCCCTATTTACAAATTTAAAATAGTATTAATAAAATGTTAAATAATTCCTTTATATTTCCTATTTAAATCAAAAAGGGTTATTGCATTCACCATAGACATGGTAATAGGGTCGGTTTTCACCATGTACAATGGCGCCCTGCGCCCATTCCCACTGACAAACGTCGTTCAAAAATATTGAATCATGACCTTAATATCCGGTTGAGCGATTTCTCGGTCCAGGATACAATTGACGCAATCAAAAATATAGAATCAGGAAAAGCACCTGGCCATGATCAAATCAGCATTGCCACCATCAAAGTTGTAAGTGCAGAAAATTGCCGCTTCTTAACCGAAGCCTTGAACCTTTGGGGGCATTCTAGAGATATCCCCCAAGAACATCTCAGGGCCATGATTATTTCTTTGTACAAAAATGGAAATACGCAAATATTTACAACAACCGACCTATTTCCTTGCTGACATATGCCTATAAAATATTTATTTCTATCCTCCAACCCAGATTCGTTGAAATTTTGAATCCTTTTCTCGCTCAGATACAATATGCATTCAGACGTGCGCGTTCCACTCTACAACCCTTATATATTGCCAGGCGAATCCAAGATTCCGCAGAACAGAGTGGAAAAGATTATTATTGCATTTCTTAAATTGGCAAAAGGCATTTGATAAAATCAACCATAGCCGCATGTTTGAAGTTTTAGACAGAATGAACATTCCCCCGAAAATGCTCTGGGTTCTTCGTGCTATTTATAATCACCCCACTTTCCAAATTGAATTCGATGAAATCAAGTCTGGAAGCTATTCGGCAGGGTCGTCCCCTTAGCCCGTATCTATTCGTCATTATTATATCGAATATATTCTCGGATATTGGTCTCTCCATCATGGACACTTGGATCCCATATCATTTATAGAAATTCTTTATGTTGACGACACGCTTTTAATTACTAAAAATATTCGTGCAATGAACCGGTTGTTACATACTATTGAAGACGAATTTCATTATTATGATCTTTCACTCAACAAATCCAAATACGCACTTATCTCCAGGAGGGACGGAATTCGTATGCCACATAAAGATTATGTCTCATACCTCGGGAGGCTCCTCACACGACATGTAAATAATCGAGTTGAAGTTAAAAGTCGGATTTCTGCTACGATGGCCGTATGGAAACGCATACACATATTCTTCAAAAATGTAAGTTGTCCTGTCAGGTGGAAGCTTATTCTGTATAATAATATGATTTGTTCAAAGATTTTATATGGATTTGCAACGGTGGAATTAATGCAATCCTTATTTTCTAGATTCGAAAATTTCCAATTACGTGACCTTCGAAAAATCCTAAGATAATCCCTTTCCCAAATTAATTTGCTGCATCGAATAATATTTGCATATTTAAAAAAGAAAATCAGAATTATTAGACACGTTTTAAAAATTAACAATCGCGATCCCATAATAAATAAATTTTCATAGAGACAATATTATTCCATATTTATTTTTCTTCAAAAAATCGAAACGACCCAGAAAAATTATTAGTAATCTCTTTAAATCTTTATTTAAAAAAAAACAAAATAAAATATAAAAATGCATATACCAATACATCGAAATAATAATATCAATGTTTGCATGATGCCAAAAATCGATTATTTTAATTTTATCTTTATCATTTTGAGAATCATTCATTATTTCATTTCATCATCAATTGTTAAATAAAATCTAATATATTTCTATTTCCCAATATCGGAGGTATCAAATAAATATTTCAATCAAGAAGATATAAAATATTTTCTCTTCCTTTTCATTTAATTCCATCAAATCTTCCTCGTTCCTTAATTTTACAAAAAAAATATATATATATATATTAAATATTTATCCTATTCATTCCTATTCCTTTTAAACCATATCCTTTAAATTAATTTTGTATAATATCTTTATCCTTAAAAATTACAAAAAATATCCTTTAAATTCCTATTATTATTCCTTTCCTTCCTTTCCTTTCCTTTATATCCCTTTTAATATCCTTTTATATCCCTAAATATGCCTTTTCCTTTTCTTATATTTCCTATTAATTTCCTTTAATTCGTTATTTATATCTTTCTATATGTTTCCTTTATAAATATCCTTATATTCCTAATTCAAATAAGAGATCGGTGTTATGCGGGCGTTAGTCCATTCTATAATTCATATTTTGTTCCTTTTTCTTGAGTTGTAATTCAAAATGTATCTGATGTGATTGAATTAGTCGATATATAGTTGTAAATATTTATTTGTTGAGGTGATATTGATTACGCACAGTCGTCAAGAAGCCTAAAAATATTCCCGAGTGTGGCTGAATTTTGGAATCGGGATCTTTCACCTCCTTCGATCGGATTTCTTCTTTGGCGTTCATGGATGGGCCATCCAAGTGAAGATCACCCCGGTCACGAAGCAGCCTCCAAAAAGCATGCCCGCTGCCGGGATGGTATTCACATCCATCCATACAGACCAGCATGTGCCGTTGAAGTGCGGCCTGCTAGGGCTGTGCTTGCTGCCACAAAACCACTGCTTCCCCGAGTGCTCCGGAATCACCACCATCGGCTTGAACTTGGTCCCGGCGCAGCCCACGTTGTCGCACCAGGGCTGGGAGACCGACTCGCCACACGAGCACCAATAGTAGACGGTATCCTTCTCCACATGCTCAATGTATGGTCCCAACTTGGGTGAGTACGGCACGGGCTCGTATGGGAACCACCTGAAATGCGTTCATTTACACACAGCAAAGAATGATGCGTTTCACAGCCTCTCAACCATGCGCAAGCACTATATATACCCCCAGGCACTTGTGGGATGGATTTGGTGCTACTGTATAAAGCGAACTGGGTGATCAACGGATCAACCCACATGTAAAACAACACGGAACCGTTTCTGTTCCTCTGCAGACTTCCTTCACCTTCCTTCCCTGCCTGTTCCACTGCGAGTAAATCTTCGGGGCACCATTCTTCTTGGAGATCTCATATCCTGCAGCTTCCCACTCCTCTGGCCTTGGCTCTTTTCATGGGAAGCATAAGATCCGTGTACTCCTCCTAGGGCCCTAGGGGCATGGAGGGGTGGCTTCGTACCAAAGCACCTTTGCATAAGCCACCTGGGCCTACACGAACGGTATTAATATTATTCGAGATAGTAAAATATCAGTCAGCTTCTGCCTGTACTCGCATCCAGAACTACATCTTCCTACTACCAAAGTCTCTACTGGCACCCACAACCCAAACACAAAAAAGCATCCCTCAATATCCCTCACAACATCATGACGCCCTGAAACACGACCGGACCGTCGGCACCGCCCCCCCAAAAAAAGTAGTAAAATTGGGGGTTCTGGGGGGCTCTGGTTCATCAACCACCTCGTTGAATTGTTCTTGGCTCTTGACAATTTGTGTTGAGCCTTTGTCGATTTTCTGGGGGTCTTGTTATGCGTGTTTTAGGGTCATAACTTTCACTATCATTGCTATAATTCAACGAGGTGGATGATTGTTTAGGTTGTTGTGTTTTGTCTTGTGGTGTTTTTTTGGTGGGGTTTTGGGTTTATATTCTCATAATGCCACTTTCATTCTCTCCATTTCTTATAACGTGTGGCTGTTCTTTTCCTTTTACTTTGTTTTGATGTTTGCTGTTTTCCTCGTGTCGTTTGACTTGGTATTTGTTTATGATGTTTTCGCACACCGGACATACTACAGTTTGTTCATTTTTACGATAGTCGTATTGTCTGGCATACTCTCTTAGTTTATCTTGGTTTTTCTCCCTGTCTCCTTGCTTTGCTTCCAGACATAATTTACATTGCTTACATTCATTTTTGGAATAGTTGAGTGATTGAAAGACCTTACACTTGGAACATTGCTTTTTGTCAGTCATTGTATCTCTATAAGTTTAAGGGGTTATGTCTTTAAATATGTTTTAGAGGGTTCTCTTGTTGTGGGGGTTTGGGTTTAAAGGGTTGGTTCATAATATGTTTAACTAAAATATTATGAATTAATCGTGTTTATGCGTTCCATTGTCCTATTCCATCCCACCAGTGCTCAATGACCCTAATTTGTTAGGCACGGTTTGTTTGTATCGTTTAGTTCATCCATCGTTATTGACAGAAGAGTTAGGTTTATAATCATAGCATTAAATTCTCCGTCACGGTTGAGTTCCTTACCACAATCAATGATGATTTTTTTTGTCTGTGAGGTTTTCATACATTTTTTTCATAATGTCAAACCTCACGAACGAAAAGATTAACATACCATTTACTCCTTCCTTTTCTTTCATCCTATCAATCACTTTGTGCCAGAAGGCATCGCCGTCCTCATCATCAGGTAAAGACATAGGATGACATCTAACGAATTCTCTTATCTCTTCATATGTTTTTCTATCCTCACTATCACTTCCAAAGTCAACACATAACCCTAAATTTTCAGAAACTGAACTCAAATCCCCAATCTTTACGCTACTCATTTTCTCTTACTATATATATATATAAATGTGTGTGTGTGTGTTTTTAAAAGTAAGTTTGCTGTCTTGTTTAGATTTCGGGTGCTGGTTGGTTTTCCTTTTTCCTTTCCTCCTCTTCCAGTTCCTTTATCACTCTATCTATCTCGTGTAGTCCTTCGTGTTCGTTTCTTCCATTTGCCAAGTTCCTCAATCTCTCAAAGTCTTTTACGCCTTTCCTCTCATCGGGTGGTAGGCTTTTGAGATGTTCCTTCATCTCTTTCAAGTCAAAGTATGTATCCTTGTTAGGCAGCTCGCATTTTGATCCGAAGGCGCTCACGGTACAAGTGATAAGAACAAATACTACACATCTAAGTGTACATGTCAGTCAACTAGAAAAGTCTAACACGCCGCCTCAAACATAGCCGATTTAGGCTCTGTTTGTTCTCTTTTCTCTACATGCGATCAAGCACCACTTTCTACTAAGTGGCAAGGGTGAAGTCCGCTTGATCTATATCACATATCCTATATGTGTAGTTCCAGCATTGTTTCTGCCATTCCGACAAAAGTCCTTTGCAAATTCTAGATCTGTGCAGTGTCTCAAAAACAAACGTTCAAGTACTGCATCAATCGTGGTGCCATTTGTGAATTCCTGGTTCAGCTGGAGCAGGAATCACTTCCATGCATCCGTGGTAGATTGTTGGTTCAGTTGGTTCAACAATCCACCTCTATTGAAATAAAATTGAATTGCAAATTGCTCTCTCTACAATGCTCAATGTTCAATGTCGTGTAGAACCACTCGGTCTCTCCACATCACCTGCTGCATCCTCCTCGTCCTCCGAGTCTGAAGAAAAGTGATGCAGCCCCATCCACATTTCCGGATCAGAAACTTCATCTAGGCGCCTTTTCTTTAAGTTTTTTAAGGTGTTCTGTTGATAAGCGAGGGATTGGGCATAACACTTCACGAAATCTTCACTTATGAAATCCTGCGACTTTCTACGAAATCTTGACGCATTAATCCCTGTTCCCGCCACTCTCTACGAAATCCAGCACTTTAGAATTTACTGTTCCTGCCACACTTGAGCCAACTAGATACTATATAACCATATAACCATATAAACAGTCAGAATGACACCGTATGGGTTTGCTTGTGGGGTCTCTTTGCCACCGATGCTCCCCGATACAGTGCCACCCCGACTGAAAAAACCTACTCCAACCATCTTTTATATATACATAAATCAAAATATTATGATTAAAAAAATGTTGGGTAGGTAGTGAGTGTGGGGGGTCGCGTTTGGACTTCTTCGTCCTTTCTTTTTGAATAAATAGAAAGGTATCTTTTAAAAAAGAACGCAACGCCGACGCCCACGCATCCCCCGACCCCCCTGAAGTGGATGAAGATGATGAAGACCTCCCTTCTGACCAAGCCGGACGAACGATAGAACAATAGATAGGTAGATTGATAGGGAGATAGATGTATATAGGTCAATCCAATCTACGAATCTACGAATATATTTAGTGAATTTAGTGGAAGTGTTTGCCAAATGTCAGGGTTTGAGAGGTTGCTTGGATAAGCCACTTCTTCCACTGTTCAAGTGTCAAACTCCGGAGTTTCTTAGGTTAAGCCACTCTCTCCAAGTTCTGGTTTATATAGAAGTCAAACTCTGAAGTTTCCAGTCTCTCGATACTGGGTTCTGGGTATCATTGATAATTGGATACTGGTATCGGGGTATCACTGATACTTGGTTCTGGGTATCGTTGATACTTGGATTTCTGTTTCATTGATACTAGGTTGTGGGCATCGTTGCTACATGGATACTGCTTTCTGTGTATAACTGATACTAGGCTCTGGGCTCTGGGTATCGTTGATACTTGGATTTTGGTATCTGGGTATCATTGATACTATGTTGTGGGTATCGTTGATAGTTAGATGCGGGTATCTGGGTATCTTTGATACTAGAGTTGGGTATCTGCGGTTATGCATGCAATGTGTGAAAACTGCTCTTGGGTGACTCACCCACAAAACATCTCAACCGCCACAGTTCTTTTCACTGGCGAAGCTCACATGTATCCTGCATCCCTCAACTTTTGCTCATCCTCTTGAAAGAGCGTGGCGACGAAATGCCAATGCTTCAAAGCCACACTTACATTTGGTTGTCCTCCTCAGGACGCAGTCTGCTGGCTCGTCACGAAGAAGCCTCATAGTCAATTTGGTCTCCTCGTCGCTCCCTGGGAGATACCCCATGGCTCCTTGGGGAGATACTCCTTCACTTCCTGGTCGTCCAATTTCTTTTGAATTGGTTGCACCCTCTCCTTGGACCACTGCTCAACCTGCTTGATGACCGCATCCGCGCCTTTCTGACCTGCACTGGAGACGCTTCGCAGTATCTTACCCAAGGCGCGGAAGTTGCCCCCTGCGCGGATGTAGTAGTGCTTCAACACCTCGTCTATCTCATCGTCGGCAAGAACCTTGTTCAGCGTCCGGAAGTCGTTTCCCTGCTTCGCGATCTCCTTGACCACAGACGTGAAGTCTTCGAAAGGCATCGGTCGCACCACCACCAAATCTGACATGTCAAACCTTTCTTCGACGATGTCCGCCACCGCAGACACGCTGACCTCCAAAATGAACTTGCACGCGGCATTGTCGTAGGTGATGTTGCAAGCGAAGGCACCGAGGGTGGAAGCAATGTCATCACAGGCATCCCTACTAAATTTGTCTCCGCGGCTTTTGGTTGTGAGTTGCAGGTTCACCACGACAGCACTGCCTGTTCGGCGCTTGGACGTCTCATTCACCTTTTCCAGCATATACTCCACTTGTTCTGGGTAGTATCGCGGCAGATTTACTGCTTGCAATGCTTTGGGCAGCGCTTCATTGAGCTTCAAGTCCTCACCAAGACGAGCAGAACTATCAAGAGGAAGCACCCTTTTGCCATTCTTCACATGCTCACACATGAGATTGCTCAGCATGGTTGATTTCCCAATGCCTTGGGAACCACTGACCACCAAGAATGAAGGTGTGCTCAAAGCTTCACGTTGAGGTGAGTTGATGAAGTCCTTGATGTATTCCTCCTCGAGCAGCCGTGCAGGGGCGGGCTCTGTCCTTTCCAGCCTTTGCCCAGCCTTCCTCACTGCCCTGTTCATGAAGAAGCCAGGAAGGAGCCTTGAATGAGAGCTTGGAGAACCAGCACTACGACGCTCCCTGTGCTCAAGAAAGTCCAACCAGCTTTGATGGTCTGCGCCGGAAAAGCCCTCGCGGGTTGCGTTCGTGCATGACCGCTTGGAAGGACGAACCGGCCTGGCGCAAGCTGAACCTGCCTCACAACGATGCATCTGCAGAATGTCAAAGAAAAAGGACAATACATCGGCTCAGTCAATTTGTGCCAAACTGGCTTGGATTGAAGGATGCTTGATATGCAAAACCAAACAGGAACCACAGCGCCTAACCTCAATCAATACATGAATTTGAAGCAAGTAATTCGACATCTTTGAAGAACACCTTGGTAGAATTTGAACCTGAACCTACACATAGAAACTCTGACCACCTCAACAATTATCCCCTTCATTATCACTTCAAGTGAAAGTTATGACCCTAAAACACGCATAACAAAACCCAGAAAAACGACAAGGGCTCAACAAAAATGTTTAAGAGCCAACAAAAAGTCAACGAGGAGATTGATGAACCAAAACTCCCCAGAACCCCCCGACCGGGTCGCCCCCACGTGGAAGGCACACCGAAGAAGCCGGTGGCGGCCGCCGGAAGCCTCTGGGTGAAATCAAAGCGTTCGGGTTTCGCGGGGTTCAGAAGGGGAAAGGAGATCAGAAGGAGGAGGCGAATTGGTGGCTCTTGTGAGATCTCTTCGACCAAGCCAAAGCAGTTGGGAAGATCAAAGCTGCAAGCAAATCTCTGTCACCAGATCCTGATTCAGAAACTTGGTTTCATGAAGTTCCTTTGGTGAACAGATCCAACCAATCCATACCAATCCTCTCACCTGGAAGCGGCCAGCTGCGAGCCCTTGGACACAGCCCTGGCGCAAGGGCTGATTGCAGTCCAGGTATATATGTATATATATATATCCCAAACAAAGGCAAACTCGTCATAGGGTCATACAGGTTCTAACAAGGAAATCCCTGAAACCGGAAACCGCATTAATCCGGGTCTAATCAACCTGTATGTATGGATATGGAAATCCCTGAAATGCTTGGAAGTAGTGAACGACCATCTCAGGCTTGGACACCTGTTCCAAGCTGCCAAGCTAGAATCTAGAACATGCTAGAACTTCAACAAATTCAGAAGACCTTCAAGCAAATTCTAGATCAGATGTACCCATATGATACGTGCCCCAAGTCCTTCAAGACGTTTGAATATGCAACAACAGCAGCGACCCGCGCGGAGCGCCACGGACTGGACCTTGCAAGCGACATGATGGTACGAACCTCTGACCTAGTCCTGTGAGAACACAAATCCAGGCTGTGGTTGATTGCACCACCTGAGCCGAAGAATACCATAACATAGGACTCTGCAAAGCAAGGTTCCTTGCATTGCCTCAGGTGATGCCAGTGAGACGGTGAGAAATAGTGCCAAGATGTGCCAAGAGAGCTGTCATGATGTGTCATGATGTGTCTGTGTCTAAAAATACAGAGGCCCCCGCAAACCCCTCTGTAAACAGGCAAAATCGACTAAACCCCTCTGTCCAACTGTCAAAGCAAAAGCTGTCTTTTTCACGGCTGGCACTTCTGTACTCAACTCGCACTGCGAGCACGCGGAATAGACCTGAAGGTGAAACTTTGACACGCTACAGGTCCTCGAACTCATCGAATGCTTCTACATCTCCTTCCATCCTCAGACTCTTGACTCCGTTAATTCTCCAAGGCACCCTTTTGAATAGCGAGTGTGGGCTAATGGATACTCTAAATGGCCAGCAAATGCTTGGATCTTCATAGTTCAGACATGGTCAGACACACCAACTCCGTCAGCTAGCACAGTCCCGCTGCTCGCTTCCAGTCCCACTGCAAATTGGGGCCCGGGCCCTGACATTGCGGCTTTCATCTCGGCCAAGCCAGAGACGTCCTACCAGTCGCCAGCGGTTGATCTTCGTGACAGTAAAGCGCTGAACAGGCACGGGCAAAGGTGCAAATGACATCTATATAATCAAAGGTGCATGTCCTGCCAGTGCCATCTGCCTAATCCCAATGACGTCCGGCTTGCAAAGAAACCCAACAATAGGAGGATCAAATCAGCAGCCGTTCACCACAGGGATGATTCAAACACATACCTTCGCGTACGATGATCAAAAAGGGAAGAGCAGCCCAACTCGCCCGCCTCCAGGATGGACGAATCAGCTATGACTTGCTCCAAGAAGCCCATGCCTTCAGCTGCATAGCGTTGAAGCACCTCAGTGGCAACCTAAAGCACCTGGTTATCTGAGGAATTCTGCTTCAGGGCCACCCGAGAGAATACAGCAACTCACAAAAACTATATAGACAAAGCAAATGACCTCCAAACACGAATTACGGGCACCACTGCTGTGATGGTCAACAACAAGCCTTTTGAGGAAACAAGGTCCGGCACAACACCGCAAAAGGCGTGAACAAACAAGACAGTTCACTCGACGTGGCAAGCGAGCTTAAATTCCATCAATGCTGAATTAAGTGTGGAGCAAGCGGTATGTATCTGCCCAACGCATCCACCTTCTTTCAAAAGCAGTTCGTCCTTGACCATCCGTCCACTTGATTCATCCTTTTCCACACACCCGTCCCACGTCCTCCCACGTCCTCCGCGTGCCCGCCCCTTCCCGATCTCGCCTGCGGGGAGCAGCAAATGCACCGCCCAAAGGGCTCGGTCTCCGTGGGCGCCAAGGCGTACTCGGCCGCGTAGCCGCGCACCTGGCGGGGCGAGTGGCTCTCGACTCGGCCGGCGGGCGAAGGTCGGTGGCCCGGGTGTGGGTGTGGTGCACGGGCTCAAGGGTCTTGATCTTGGCCGAGAGAACTTGAACCCATAGAACTATAGTATAGAGCATGATAAATCTATGAAACGATCTTTTGGGGTCTTTGGGGACTATACAGTAGGTTTTGCATCAGAACCAGCAACACCTCGTTTTTGTATGACATTGGCCGTCATGCTCGTCAGCGCCAAACTGTGCCTGGTGAGGAACGCCGCCTAAAGGAGACTCGCTGATGCTGGCGGTGTTGGATGAAGCTGCTGCGAAACCATCCTGGCGTTGCCCTCACAACATTCGGTGAATCCGAACCGTCTCAAAATATCCTGACAAAATGGTTCTCAGCATGCCAACTCCAGAAACGGGGAAAAACACGTGCAGTCTCTCTGGCAGCTCCGTCGCCCACGGTGCCCCCGCCCACGTCCGCCTGGTGCTGTGTGAGTGCAGCAAGCAATTCCACTGCACAGTTGCTGGCCAGCCCCGAAATCCCCGGTCTCGTGACAGTGCATTGTTGGTCCAGGGTCCTCGCGCTCGAGCCCAATATACGTATGATATACAGTAGACAAACCGACACAACAAAAACGTCCTTGGTTGCAGAGTGCCTGGGCTCTGCCTGTGCCCAATGTGATCTACAAAGAATCCACGCAAATTCCTGAGATACTGTAAATCTTATCAACAAAGTGTACTTCCGTCCTATCAGTATGGTGTGCCAAATTTGTGTGTCCACGCAACGCCAAACACAAGTGCAAATGCCCAGAAGAACATTTTCAGAACGACTCATGATCGACCGGACAATAATTTATGAACTACACCAGGGGAAATGACCACGGGATACCAAGTGCATCGATTTGCTCAAGACCTGAAGACTGCATGAAAAAATCCGTCCTGAAGGCCAACGAATCCTCGGTGAACGGCCGCGACTCGCGGAGAAGTAACACCCAGGTCCCTGGGACGTGCCTGGAGCCAAAGGAAGGTGCGTCCATACCAGAAGGCCCCCAAGTTGACCAAGAAAACGAAGGTGAGGCCAGCAAAACCAGTTTTGGGGCGTGAAAACCAGGTTCTCGGGTTCTTGGTCGCTTGGAAGGCCCAACCAAAACAGGGTGGAGGCGGTGATGGGATGAAGTCTTGTCTCACAGACTAGTAGAAGACACCAACGATAGTGCCCAAATAAGGTCCAAAAGAAGACAGGTACGAGGAAACTTAATTGGCATTAATTGGCAATCTATATACATTTAAACAATTTTAAACAAGATTAACGTTCGCACAAGGCTGTTTCGAATTCGATTTCACAGTGCGAACCAATACGAAACCTGCCCACACTGATTGAAGCATCCATATGAAAAGCAGCGGTCGCTCTGCCCTCTGACCCATCTTCAGCCATCACGCTGTGTGTGTTCAAATCTGTTTGTCTTCTCAGACCTCCACCAAATATGTTCGCCGCCGCTGAACCAAACAAACCATCTCAATCTCGACCAAAAAAAACAATGGCTCTAGACTCTAGACAAGGTGCCGATGGAGCTGTGACATCATTGCAGAAGTAGCATGCCGCTGGGGAGTTCTGATAGCTTTGCCTCCACAAGTTCGAGCGTGCGCCCACGTGCGCAAGATACGACTGTGAATCAGTGTTCTGAGAACCAGGAAGTGATGTGAAGAGGAGAACCCACAACTTCCTCACCTGAATCTCACACAGACTGTTCTGACTTTCCAAAGCAATGGAAGCACAGCCGTGTGTTTGTGGCTTTCAACCCCCGCGCACAGCCAAACCAAAAGCATGGGAAGAACCGGAGCTTCGTCGAAGGCTCCACACGATGTCCACCAGCTCGGCGCGAAAAAACGGAGCGCGGGGGTTCATTCCTGGTCTGAGCCTGGAAACCAGGAAGGAATCAAAGCCCAAGGCCACGGTGAGTCCTAGTGGTGCATCTTTGCCTCGATCCTGCACGCCCAAAAATCGCTCAAAAGGTCACGCCTGGGTGGTTCTTGGCTGGAACCTACCCGGAGCTTGGCCCAGAATTTGAGAAGTACCAGATGGTGGAACAATGTGGAACAACTACAGACTACTTTTTTTAGTGTTCCAAGCAAAAAGATCCTTATGATCCTTGCACTCGTGGATTCAAGCAATCACAAAAGTGGGATCACAAGTCACTCTTCCACGATGACATGACTTCGACCGGCGAGTAACCATGCAAAAAGGCCGACAGGGCACATTATAATATGCTGCCCCACTCTGCTTCAGCCAAGGCAAGCCACAGCCAAAGAACAACCAAAGCACTTGCCCCAACCACCATCCACATACCCCTGGCCGTAATGTGAGGGGCACTGTGTGGTTGTGGCATACCCTCAATAACCACAATTCCCCCCAGCAACAGCCGCCTCCCGACGCTCTCGACACCCCCTTCGCGCACTGACGACCGGTCGTACGCCCTCGACCTGCGCCGCGGCCACCAGGAGCGAGGGAAGCCACCGCGACTCGCGCGAGTCCGTCAGCATGCCTCGGGTCGTCACCCACGGACCGGGCGACCGTGTAAAGCCCGAGCGACGGTGCGGGACGCGCGCGCCCCTTCGAACGTCGGAGCCCAGCAGACCTGGGGATTCACCGCTTCGGAAGCGTGGCATCGCATCAGTAGAGCGAAAGACGTTTTGAACCTGTCTGATAAGCTGGAGCCTCCACCCCCCTGCAAAGAGCACTCGGAATGAATTCACAACAAAAATTAAAGACACCCACTGAGAACCTCCAAAAGACTGACTTATGGGATGCATTCTTGGCAAAATCCTCCCACTTGAGCATATTGAGATGTGGTGACCTGGGATCCATGGTATCGTCTGAGAGTGCCCAATCAGCTCCATCAGCTCCGCATCACCAGCTCCATCGGCGGATGACGCCGATAGCGCGCCCAGCGGCAGATGACGTCGTGCCGCTCGATGAGCTCCTGGAGCTTGACCTGAAAAAGGGAAAACGTCGCTGTCACCCTGTCCGTCTAAGGATGGCACCCCCGCGACGCCCCTCTGTCATCCCATGGACAGTGGTATCCCTTTAAAGGTGGCTCCAAGCTTCTCGGGGCGCAAGCGTAAGGCATTTACCTGTGAATCTGGCAATCTTGAGGCTTCACTTAGTATAGTATAGAGATAGAAGATTGGAAGATGGAATAGTCCTTGAATGTCTAAGTGAGGATGATCATATCTATAAAGCCATGGATTCAGCAGGACACTGTAAATAGATGTACAGTACATAGTATATAATTTCATATATATATATATAATTGAATGTGTTTATTCTCATCAAGAATGCTTTGAAGTCACATCTGAACCTCCACAAATTCTTTGCTTCCTTCCCCCACCACCACCACCCTCCACCAATTTGGCTGTCGCTTCTGCCCCTTGCGTCCACATGGCCCACCACACCACCACACCACCACCCCACACCCCAAACAACGCTCCACCAGGCCACGACATTCGCACGCAGCAGCTCAGCGGACTGGTGGGGATGCCCCGGCATCGGAATGTCCATCACCACCTGCGACGACCGTCACCCGTTTCGGTCGACGCGTATATACCGGGTTGAAGGTCACCATCTCGGGTCGACGCGTCGAACTGCCACGGGAGTGAAGTGAAGTCGGATGAAGTCGGTGAAGGTCGCAAGGTCTAGAAATCAAAAGTGGCCATGTCCAACTGGTCTGGCGTCTCCTAAATTTGCCAAGCCAAAAGCTCTCACCAATGTTCCAAGGCACATCCTCAACTTTTGCATCTGGCAAGATTGCTAGCACTGCCTCCTTGGCTGCCGTGGCCTCAAAGCCGTGATCATGAGCAGACGCTCGCTTGGAACGAACGCTTGGGCTATCGTCAAGGATGTCCTATGATATGTTTCTTAGACCAGTGCAACAAACATCGCACAGAATCCGGTTGATACTAGGTAGGCAGAAAAAAGAGAACACATTCCCATTCAAGTTCTAAGTGTGGCAAAGGGGCAGCATTCTCGGGGAATCCGATCTTTTTTGCCCTTTGAAGCATAAGAAAAAATAGTCTATACTAGGCTATACCCACCAATGTGCTTAAGCGAGTCGTTGTCCTTCCCTACTCGTCCCTGATCCAAATGTTTGATGGCTCCCAGCCCCGTCTCCAGCCTTCTTGCGACCGTCCGCAGCGTCTTTGTGGGTAAACAGACTCTGCCGCACAGGGTTCGAGAAGGAAACCTAAGTGAAACCATCGCACTGCTTTCTTAACGTTCGCTCTCATCAAACATCGCGAACATCAAAAACCCCGGAGACCCCCAATTTATGTTGCTGCTGTTGCTGCTTCTCCTTGGCCGGAATTGCGCCGGCTCCCCTAGCCCTAGCCCGTACGTAGGTGTTCAGCAAGGCAAATGCCGGCCTTGCCGGCATCGACGAATGTCATGTGCCTGGCATCAGCACAACTTCTTTGGAAGCGGATTCTCTGTTCTCGGTCCGAAAGTCATATGCGATTGAGATCCCTGATTCAGCGGAGCGGACATACCAATGCGAACCCCAAACGCGCAAGTTTCTGCATCCACCTCCATACCACCTGGGATTGCTGATCTAAGCATCTCAAGGAAAAAGAATATTCAACTGATGAACGGAATCAACTAATATCAACTCATGAAAAACTGCTGAAAGCATCGCCAACATTCAGACCTTGGTGCCCCACCCCGCCTGCAGCCCCAGCCCATGAGCGCTCGGGCCACACCACAGCCCAAGGTGCCGGCACCCAGCAGCAGCACACGGAGCTCCTCGCAGTCGACGGAAGCGAGGTTGCTGCCTGACTCTTATCACGATCATTGCTGCATGAATCAGCTGGCAACCCCTCGGGGGGTCGGGTTCGTTCAAATTTGGTTTCCAAGTCCGAGCGAGTGAGAAGTTGACGTTAGGACGTCATCTCACCATAATCATAATCCGCAAGGGAATCCCTCTGAGAGCGCCCCCTTAGCTCCACAAACTCGTCACCAGCAAGATTTGCATCGCGTCCGTGTCTGAGGATGAAGTGCGCTCCCAGGTACACGGCAACAGCACAGCAATTACCAGCAACAAAGGCCAAGAGTGGTACGAGCCAAGAGCACTTAGGCTCGATGAAGGCTTTGGCAACGTTCAGCAGTCCCGTCGTAGTGATAATGGTTGTAGTGTCGTCTTTTTGGAAGTGGCCAGCGCCGTAGAACCAGACACTGTATCTTCATCCCGAAACAAAGCTCCGAACCGAGAACAAACGAAGGGCTCCACAAAGAAACCTAAGGACCGAGAAAGTAAAACAAAACATGCAGTGCTCAGGCAAGCCAAATGAAGTGCTCCGCCAAGTTGAACCTGGAAACCGAAGATCCAGCTTAAGGAAACAAAACCTGCAGCCCTGGAACAAAGCAAATGAAGCGTTCCACCAAACAGCGTCAACAACCTCAGCTCTGAGCTAAGGCATCAAGCGCCTCATGAAACTTTTGCAAAACTATCAGGTCCTCATCGCTCCGAGGCCAGCCAAAGCGTCTCATGAAGAGATCAACTGGGGTCCATACCAAGAAGGCAAGACCAAACATGATCCCAATAGGGTGTCACTGTTCCACACTTAGGCAAACCTGTTTCTGAGAACTTGCTTTGGCTTTCAACCCACCTGTGGGATGCTGATGCACGCGCGTCACATTGGGCACAATTGGCTGCTTAGCTATAGAAGCCGCTCACATCCCAACGGCCAATGGACTGGTTGAAGGCGCTGGCACCATCGAACATGAGGTCACCTTGGACCAATCGGCTGGTTGAAGGAAGTGGCATCAGAAAACATGTGCTCCATGCTCCTCACCTTGGACACATCCCAAGAGCCGATCGGCTGGTTGAAGGAAGTGGCATCAGAGAACATGCGCTCCACGCTCCTCACCTTGGACACATCCCAGGAGCCAATCGGCTGGTTGAAGGTAGTGGCCGTCTGGAACATGCGAGTCATGACCAACACCTTGGACACAAGCCAAGAGCCAATCGGCTGGTTGAAGGAAGTGGCATTCAAGAACATGCCGTCCATGAGCTCCACTTTGGGCACATCCCAAGAGCCAATCGCCGCCCGGAACACGCCGGTCATGTCTGTCACTCTGCACACATCCCAGGAGCCAATCGGCTGTTTGAAGGAAGTGGCACTCCAGAACATGCCGTCCATGAGTTCCACCTTGGACACATCCCAAGAGCCAATCGGCTGGTTGAAGGAAGTGG